GCAGGAAACACTTCATCCCAATATTGATCTTTGATCAGCTCTGGATGATCATGATGCATTTCATCCACTATGAGGTAGGAAACTTGCAGATTTCTATCAACGAGCCAATTAACTTCAAAATCGTCGTCGTCTTCACCAAAAGGGTTTATAAGAGACTCGGCCACTTTAAGCCATCCCATGTAGAAGAAGAACTGTAGAGTTGTGAAGAATGGAAAATATAGATCGATCGTGTTCAAATATCCTTCTTTGATGATGGTTTGTTCGGTCCACTGCCTCGCCATGATAGAAGTAATAAAATAAGAATATACCGCCAGGGTCACCACTTGAGTGTAAACTAAAGGAACGCTAATGGTATCGTAGCTGATCAATGTTCCACATTGTCCACGGAATTTGTTGAGTTCATCAATAACAGTCTTAACGGCAAAGTCATCTCGGATCCTGCCTTCTTTTCTGGCTCTTGTCACAACGCTTGCAGCCCAAACGATTGGCAACCAATGCTTGGAATGTCGGGGAAACTTCGTGTTCAAATCGTCCATGATGACACGTTCGTTTTCGGTCAAAAGACCAGCCTCTAGTAAATGATCTAATGTAGGGAAACGTTTCTTGACACGGGGAGATATCATACTGAAGACCATAGTCATACATAGGCAGACGTATCGTAAAATTGTACGGCGCATCAGTCGACCACGTTCATCCTAAACAGATTTTGATCAAAGTCATGATAAATATTCGCCAATAAAATTAAAAGCAGATCGAAAATGAATATGCGTAAATTAAATTCCAAATTAAGATAAAAATGCTACATTATATTGCTGCTTCCAATTCATTATGGGGCTTATAAAAAGTCCATAAACATAATAAATTTATGATGTCAATAAATATTCAATTACACCCTCACCTGTCCATGTATATTAGCACTAACGAAAACAGCAATTGGGTCGGGCCAGGGTATGCTCGTATATTGGCCCCACCATCTCGTCATAACAATTGATACATAAAAACCCAACACGAAAGACAACGGAATCAAATCCGTGTATGTAGCACAATATAGTACTATACCTTCAAATATTCTAAAAAATATGTTAAAAAAATTATTAAAATATATTTTTTATTTACCTTTTGAAATTTGATAAGATTTACCTTTTAGCTTCAGCATCGAGATATAATCTATAGGTTAAATTTAGTATGTAATATAATAAGAGAAATGCCAGCAAATCGAGCCATACTAATTTGTAAATACTACCTCGCCACCTGGAAATTATAACATATGTTAAAACTATCTCAATATTATATAAAATAAGTAAATGCTGTCTATATTATGCTATATAAATATTATTAGGAAAAATAAGAGATTGATATAGTATGTAAGACAAGAGTAGAAATAATATCTATTATTATTGATTGCGGCTTGCTATAATAAATAAATAAAATAAATAAATGTATATAATATATTTTCTAATGAATGTATATAATACAACTTCTTTTTCAACAGTTCCTACTTTCCCTATTTTGTTCGAAATTATTTAAACAATTTCCTTTTAAACCCTAAATTTAAGTTTTACACCATCAATGATCAATTTATTCCGTACTTCAATGATTAATTTATTCTCTTTGTGATACTGCCCTTATTTTTTATTTTTCAGATTAGAGGAAATAAAAATAAAAAATGCTAAATGCAAATTTTATAATTCATCTGATCCATATGATTTTTTTAAAATTTCAAAGAACATGGATATCAATGTCAACATATGATTTGTTTAAAATTTTATTTTGAACAAGAATCAGAACAATACTCTATGAGCTGTTCTGATGAGATTCCTTCAGAACTATCGATTTTTTTTCAAAACAAAATGTTTCAAAATTATTAATTATATTATAATGTTGATTTATTATAAAGTAATTAAGTTAACCTAATATATATTTAATAATCCAGAATTTTCAATTTATCATGTTTTAAGGCTTACTATTACAACTTACTCGAGTATAATAGGGATCCCTATTAGAGCATTATAGTAAAAATTCAAATCTATAATTTCAAGTTTGAAAAATAAATCTTAAGAAATTTTAAACCGACAAGTAATACTTTTATTTATGGTAATAATATTAGATCTGTTTACAAATACAGAATGATACAGTGAATGCTAATTGTGTGCTTCATAAGGAAATATTGAGAACATAGTCTGTAATCAGAAGAAACTGAATTATAGTCCTAGATTTTGTAAGAACGAGTTTATTCCAATGTACACACACATACAAATATATATATATATATATATATATATATATATATTATGTATATATACTAGCTAGCCCGGCAAACGTTGTTTAGTCATAAAAAATATTTCTAGACAATTTTTAGTATAAAAACTAACTGATTGTGAAATTAGAAGCATGTGTTATATGAGTGAAAGGAAAAGCTAACACAAATTATATGGAAGGTATACTCACTGCAACGCATGCCACATATAAATGTTCATGGGGCATATTGAAGTGAGAAACTGATTTCATTTAAATTAAATTAATCTAAACTAAAAAATTAACCTAATAGCCAAATCATAAACTGATTTCGTTTAAATTGATTTGGCACATTTGTAAATTCAAGGTTTTGATACATTATTACTGAGCTGTATTTGCTTTTTAATTACAAATTATAAAAAAATAAAATAAAAGACATTGATCTAAAAAATAAAAATAATCTAAGAGGTGATCAACTTAGAGGCAAGAAAAATAGATGTTCGCCGATCCTCAGACTAGCCAATGTTAGCCAATGTACTTTATATATATAATTTTGAACAAACAGTTTTTAACATGTATCCATCCAGTTACTAAAATGGAGCAAAATTAAAATTAAAGAATTAAAAAAAATTAATAAAACTTTTTTCAATACGGTCATTTTAACTTTCTTTATTAAATACATAATTCTTTTTCACAATTGTGACTCAAGAATCAAATCTTTTGTTCATCGTGTGTGGTATTTGTGTTATTTTAAACAATTTGTGTATATTGTCTACTGAAGAAGAGTCGAACTGGGATTCAAAACATTTGGATGCATTAAAAATTTTTAAATGACTTAGTTTTTTTTATAACTAGATGGAAAACTTGTTTGTTCATAACTATAAATCTTTCACCATCTGAAATATTATTACATTGACTAGGAGATTGACAGAGACAGATGAACTATAAATTTTTTTTTGAACATTTAAAAATTACAAAGTAAATATAAAACTTTGGATCAAAGGAAAATATATAACCTACAATGTAACGTCTGCATCAATATAGAGAACAACTTTCCAAGTTATTTATAGTATTAAAAGCAACTGTAATGCTTGCTTGCAATAATTCATCTAGGCTCTCTCCAAATTATATTTGTAGTGAATATCTAATTAAGATTTAAATTTAATCAAATTAAATTAGTAAAGCTAGAAGTTGTTATATCTAAAATAAATAGCCAAAGATCTTATAACAAACATATGTAGATCACAACATTAAGCAATATGGAATATTTTTCCACGTTGAAAATTTAATCTAATGACTACCATTCCCAAGAATGTGGTTGTCAAATGAGCATCTAATGTAAATATAATAAAATGAGTATAAAATGACTTGCTTAGCTAAACTATTAATACGGTTTCGTGAAAAAACAGATTACCTACATTAAATAGGAACCGAGCCAAAACTAACAACGCTTTTTATCGTACATTTACTTCACATTTGTTTATGGCATTAACATGCAGGTGTTAATTATATTCTTATATAATGTTTAGTTTGTTTAGCAATCAGCTTTCAATCATTATTTAATCATGTTCTATTTTTATTGTTTGCACTGATGCATCTAGAGATTTGTCAATGAGTAATAAATATTTAATTGTAAATAGGGTAAAGCGGGGCTAAAAGGTCCAAAGGTTAAAAGGTCCACCACCATTATCTCAAAAATAATTAAAGTCTATAATTTTTTAACGATGCTATTTTAAAGCAGAGGGCAAAAGATGTGTAAAGGGCTATCATCTTAATACTTAGGACATCGCTATCAGAATATACAAACAGCCATGTATGAATATTCATAGCAAACGTATTTTGTTTCGTCAACAGTTTTTTTGGTTTTGAGCTCTTTTATTTAGTTTATGATGCCTAAATATAATTTTAATTGTTTTGTAAAATGTATTATTATTAACTTCCCGTTGGGTAAGTTCTAGTAATCGTTATCGTTATTAATAAAAAAATCAAAATATAAAAATCTCCAATTTTTAAAAAAAGTCATTTTTTTTCAAAAATCTCAAAAATCTGATTTTTTCAAAGTTTTTCAGTTTTTTTTTTAATATTTTAGTTTTCGGTACGGAAAGTTCCAGCAATTTGCCTTATATTCAACAGTTTTTTTTATATAACTCTATAAAAGCTCAATAGAAGCTTATAAAAAGCTTACATGTAGGTGGGGTAAAAAGGACCATCTAAACAATAAGAAAATAGTAAATAAAAAAGTGAATTGATTTAAAAAAAATCACAAAAGATAAATTTAATTAATAATTATTCCATCTCTGCTGATGAATATTTCTCACGAAATACCTGCAATGCATTTCATTTCATTTGATTTAGACAGCATATTTACTGAAAGACCTTTGGACCTTTGCACCCCCGCTTGACCCTATTTATATAATTAAGTAAATTATAATTTAGAACCACAGAGTGTAATATATAGTATTTGTAGAGCAAAACAATTTTAGTTAAAAGTTACTTCCAATAATGTAAATTGCAAAAAAATGCAAATAGCCACAATAATAATTTAAATATTTATCTTGAATGTACCTAATAATTGTTTGTATCTGAATGTATAATTTGCTGTACTAATTATATGTTTTTATTTTAGTATACATAGTATATCTAATTTACATTTAGTACAAAAAAATTATTTATCAGTGGTAAAAGATTAATTATTCTAATAAAATATCACAAATGGTATTATAAACATATCGCCTGTGATAAATCATATGTATTCTGGCAAGTAATGACATCACCTAGTTGTGGGAATCAGCAAAATGATCTCATCGAAACAAACACGAAAAGTTTAGTATTGAAACAATTTTAGATAAAAAGAATTGAATTCCGCAAATCGTTTAACTTGACGTCACACAACAGTGATATCAATTTTCACTTGAAAATCAAATAATTAATAATAAATTTGTTGAATGAAAATAGATCTCCATACACAATTAAAAAAGAGCAACAATTTGGTTGTCTTAATAAAAAATATGTATAGAAAAATTAAATAGTATAACCATTGGGTTGCTTCTTAATAATCATTAATAAAAATGATCACAAAGGCTTATATAAATTGCTAATTTTTTATTGCTGTTAAAATAGAAATAAAACGTATTGATATACACTTTAATACTACATTTTACGTCGATGACAGAAAATAATTACAGGTAATCAAATTATACCTGAAGCACAGGTGTAAGTGACAGTTTTTTAATTAGCGTGAAATAACGTGATTATAATTAGCATAATAAAGTCTTTTCGCTAATAATTTATTATAGAGATGTATGTAAGTGATAAAGTAGATACGTTTTCATTTGGACATATAAAAAGTTTTATTTGTTTTTATATATTAGGACCTGTATTTGTGTAAAAAAATAGACCTTACGACCTTTAGTTATTAACAAAAAATTGATACAGTAGTCTGAACAAAAGTCTGGTGTTAAAAAAAATGTAAACATTACTTATGTAATTAATATTTTTTTTAACTTCTCGTAGGGTAAGTTATAGTAATCGCAAAAAAATCGAAAATGAAAGTTTTTATATATCTTTATGTTTCAGGGGTTTCTGAACATTTCGCCATACCTTTGAAAAACATTTTTTTACACATTTTTTTCCAATAATAATTTTTTTTTAAATTTAAAATTTCTCAAATATCTAATTTTTTTAAAGTAAAACTTCTTCAAAGATTAAAATTTTAATCTTTTTTATAAAAAGTAATTTTTGGTACGGGATGTTCCCGCAATTTGCCTTAAGGCACGATGCCATTCACCACTAGTTTTTTTGTATTAATTCAATATTACACAGCAATCAGAGTTATTAAAACTCTATAAGTTATAAGGCTAAATTACATATAAAAAAATAATCACAGAAATAAAGAAAAAGAAAAAATGATAACAAATAAAAAAATGAACATAAATATAAATGAATTACAAATAAAGAAAAATAAATAAATAATAAATAAAATAATAAAAAAAAAATTGTAGTGATTGCTCCAATAAGCATTTTTTTACATTAAGTGCCTTTCTTGTATAATTAAAATTAACATCTATAATCTCTATAGTCATTATTATAAGCGTTGGAACTTCATTATTTTTTATCGGTGCTGTATTTACAAAAAACTGCCATTAAACAAATCTACTGCTATTATCAATATATTTTGTATTGAAACAGTATGGTCGCACATATTTAAAAGTATATTTTTATAGGTCATATACTATCAACATATTTCATTCTAATTACTCAAAGAATGTTGTTAATAGAATTTGGAATTTTGTTACTTGTTGGATAGCACGTGTTCTCTTGATAATATCATAATAATTGCTTCAGAAAATAATTAAACTATTAAAATTGTATCAGTAATGTGTAAAAGATATCAGAACTAATAATTACTATTGAATTCAATTATGAACTCTATAAAAAAAATGAAAAATTTTCATGTCTTGGGATTGAACAACTTGGTACTAGTTTTATCACCACGACCGTCTCAAAAATAATAATATAACCAAGTTCTTATTTTTTTCTTTAAATTTAATGGACATGAATCAATTAAATTTTTATGCATTAAGCATAAGTGTGAGTGTTGAAATAAATATGTTTATCGCCGATAGAGATCTTACAATAGAATAAAATTACTTTTATCAGGAAGGAGGTTTCGCTCAATGGAAATATTTTTTATTATAATAATATGGTGGTGAAATATTTATGGATTAAAATAGTAATAGAAATAAAATATATTTAGTTCGAGCACATCTTCCAACTAAATCAAACTAGTGGTGGACGACATTGTGTCCTAATGCAAATTGCTGGAACTTACCGTAATGTAATTAAACATTCAAGAAATAAAAATAAACAGTGATCAATGATTATTAACTTTCCGTAGAGTAAGTTATATTAATGGTCCAAAAATCGAAAATGAATTTTTTTGCATATTTTCACGTTTGAGAGGTTTCTGAACATTTTGACATACCTCAGAAAAAATGGATTTGAATGTGTTTTGTGTGTCCACAATTTTTCGTCCACGTTTTCGGGCGCACGGATCAACCGATTTTAATAATACGTATAAATTTTGTTTATCCATTTCTATGGGTTTCGTAACATCGTTTGTCCGTAAAACTGCGATGAGGCGCTTACGCGCTTGTATGCAGCTAAAGCACCGCGATTACTTCAAAAAGTTCAAAATTTCCAAAATATTTCAAAATAAAAAGTTTTTTTTTGAAAAAAGTCAATTTTTTTCAAAAACATAAGATTTCTCACAAATCTAATTTCTTCAAAGTTAAATGAATAATTTTTTTTTTTTTTTAAATTTAATTATTGGTACGGAAAGTTCCAGCAATTTGCCTTAAAGCACGATGCCATACACATTTGATTATCAATTGATTATCCATGTAGAGGATATATACAACCCAAAAAATGCAAAATTTGTACTCATTATTAAAATACCTGTAATATATCTGATAATTTGAATGTACATATGTCCAATGATCATTTTTAACCACTAAATGGCATCTCCGAAATCACTGGATTTGCCTTCTCAAAAACTTCTTCATTTAATTGGTGCAATTAAGATGTTTTTGAATAATTCATATCAGACTCTCGAATCGGTTGAACCGTTTTTCGAATCATTTAAACCGGTTAATCCGTGCTCTCGAAATCGTCAAAAATTGTATCCGCACAATACATACATTTCTCCTAAGGTATTCTAAAATGGTCGGAAGGTCTTCTTTGAAATATGCAAAAAGTATAATTTTCGTTACGGTAAGTTAAAAATACACCAAAGAAATGTGCAAATTATTTTTATAACTGCGCAGGATAAAAGTTAAAAATTGTTTTTACGATGCTCTTTGTGTAAAGGCGCGACATAGCAATATCGTTGTTCAAATACATTATTACCGCTATAAATTCGAATGAAATTGCTTCTCATTTTGACATGGACAGGCAAAACAGTACGGAATTTTTCTGAGTAGACATTTTTCTTATTTATTTTATTCACTTACCTTAATAGCAATTTGAGGAAACATCCAAAACCACGGCACGTGGCTACTTGCGCCGTATAGGTAACAGTCATCTTAATAAAATTGTCTTTTGGTTGATCACAGATTGATTCGAGTTAATTTAAAATTTCGTACATATCACTATTCTGTTTCAGAATATAGTCATCGTTTAAAAATACTGTAAAAAATATGAAATCTTTTGTTAATAGTGCGTGAATGTTGATTGTAGTAACACATAAATATGAAGTAACGTGTAAATGAATAATTAAATAGATTACATCACTGTTGGGAAAATATTTGGTGCTGTATGGATGATGAATTTCTTAAAATTAATTCTGGAATGATACATGTCACCTTGGGCACCAATCAAAAGTAACAAATTTATGGAATTTATACATTTTTGGAATAAAAACTACACCTGTAATCAATAGCACTACACTGTCACACTAATTGTTAACTACAGGCAATTACTAGCTCATTGAATTGAAATATAATAATTTGCTATTATTTTTTCTATTTTTCGAATGAACAAAATATTGTTCTATAAGATTTCCAAAACATAATTCTATCATATATACAGGGTATCCCAGAACTCAACGTCAAGCCGAAACGGGGTGAGAGTATTGACCATAACTGTCCTGGGAAAATTTAGAAAAAAAATCATCTCACGTTGTTTGGAACCTAGAACTTTGATGAAATGAAGCCAATTTCTCGGATATTGTAGTTAATTTTTATTAAATTTGTTCATTTAAACTTTGAAATCTTAACCGTGAATAACAATTTTAGGGCCACAGTCAAAAATAATAACACAATTGCCCCAAGTTTTCTAGAATTAAGACCATTTGTTGAACTATGAATTTAAAAACTTCAAAACCGGTCGAGTTCAGAAGCCATGCTTTAATTTTTTTTATTTGCCATTCAAATTACAATGTGTCTTAGTGAAGACATTTAGTAATTGATATGTTATAATATATAATTTATTTAGAAAGATTACTCATTGGTAATTCTTTCTAGTGTGGATAAATGCTGTTACTATTTACTGATTACTATACAAATGCTCTTTAAAAAGAAAATGTACTAAAGTGACTTGATAATCCTCACATTCATATATTTTTCTTCTATTTTTTCCAGAGCAGTTACGGCTAACACTATCACCCTGTTCGGCTTGACGTTGAGTTCTTGGACACCCTGTATATTGTAATCAATATTTTCTGTAATGCAACGCATTCTCAGTTAATATGAGCCACAATAATAATAATGTCATTTACTCAAAAACGGCTAAACCGATTTAAAAAACTTGAAAGTCATTTGATGTATTTTGATAAGTACCTACTAATAATGATTAGTTTTACCAGACGACCGGCCAAGCTGTTTCTTTAGAATTAATAGAAAAATGCAAAAATCCAAAAACTTTTCGAAAGATATCAGTTGGGAACTGTGGTGATTAGTATTTTGTAAAGATCAGTGAGCCCTTTCTTCGATTTTGATAAAACTTTGTATGATGATAGAGTTCAAGGTCTAAAATATTATTACCGGTGGTTTAATTACGAAAAAGTCTTAAATTTTGCCAAACTGTATCGTCACAATTGTAAAGTAGATGAATCTCAATTTTCTTCAACTAAGTCTATTATTTGCATAAATCTGGAAGTTCATGCAACTTGCCTTAAAGAAAAATGCCACTTACGACTAGTTTGAATATTCATATTTGGTATTATCTTGAATTCAACATAAAATATAACAATATAACACAACAAGACACTTTTGTACACATTTTAAACTTAATGCTGACAACGACACCAAAACTAACAACATGACAAATTAATAGTAATGCTTCAACAAATACATTTATCACTTAATAAATTTATTACCACAGCAGACGCCTACACATTATATCAATACGATATAATTTTGCATTGTTAAAATATAAAATAAACTAATTATAAATGCAATAAGATACATTATTAAGTCCGTTATTTGTAGGAAATCGCGTCACGCGTTGCGATCCGCTCCTGAGAGCGGTACATCACCGTTTGTATGACATACGATCAAAATGTTCCCTATATAATAAAATATAAATATATAAGTTTGTATAAATAGTACGAGCGCTGGTAGAAAGATACTTTAACACTAGGCGTAAGTGGCATTTTGCATTAAAACAAGTTTATCAATGAGAAATCAATATACAGTAGAAGTCATTTTGCCCGGCAACGAACAGTTTGGAAAGCCTGATAGTCTGGCATTTTTTCGAAATTCTTTTTTTCTATAAAAAATTATTTATTTATACACAGTACATAATACATGCAAAGAAGTGCATTATTTGAATTGAATTCTTTACAACTTCTCAGTATCATTCCTAAAGATTTATGTGCTCTATTACAAATATCAGCTATATGATCAGTAAAAAACAAACCAGAATCAATAAAACTCCTAAGTCTGATATTTTATTACATCTATCAATGCATGTGTTACAGATTTTATATTCAAAATGTATTGGAACGCGCTTATGTGAAAAACTAAGAATCTTGCACTTTGAGATATTTAAATGTAGTTTGTTATAGACACACCAAGAGTGGAAAGAGTCAAGTTGAGGTTGAAATAATAACAAGTCATCAATAGAATTTATTTTGAGATCATATGCAAACAATAAATGTGGACAGCTAATAATTTCAGATATGTCATTAATAAAAATAATAAATAGTAGTGGACCAAGAATGGTTCCCTGAGGAACACCTAAACTGATTGCTCAAGAATCCATTAAGATAGACAAATTGTTTACGATTATGAAGTTAACTCTTAAAAAAATAAATAAGTGAAGAATTAAGACCAATTTTAGATAATTTGACTAATGGACAAGTTAATGTTATTTACACTGACTTCATTAAAGCTTTTGACAAAATTGATCATAACATTCTTCTTACTAAATTATCTAATATTGGTAAAATCATTTTAGCCGTTATTGAGAAAACGTCCACAAAATGTCAAATTTTGGCTCACATACATACCCACACAATTTTTCAAATTTGGCGCCAAAGGACTTGAAACGTCAAGAAAACAAAATTAGCAAATCGGATTTTCCGGTGAGAATATAATATTCTAGTTTCCTTTTTTAATATTTAGGAAAAATATGTATTATTATTATTATTATTAGGATGTATTATTTAAAAATCCCTACAAATATCTTTTTAAATTTGGCGGCAAACGACTTGAATCGTCAAGAAACATAAAATTAGCAAATCGGATTTTCTGGTGAGAATATAGCATTCTAGTTTCCTTTTTCAATATTTTTTAATATTAAGGAAATATTTAGAAAATTTTTATTTTAAAATTCCTACTAATATCAGTTTTGCAACAGTAGTAAATACAAGTAAATAGTAAAAAGAAAATTAGTTCAATGTTAAAGCAACTTTCATAAAAAAGAAAATTTGCTCATGGACAGAAACTCATCTACTGTGTGTCGAATTAAGAAAAAGAAATAAAAAGACATATTATATATGGCAAGAGAATAACCGCAGTATATAAAAAGATGCTTTGAAAATAAAATAAAATAAAATAAAAAATGCAAAGTTTTCAAGGTCTAGAATTCTAGATGGTCTGTTTAGATTTTGTGATTATACTTAAACAGTAATGTAATAATTTTAACAAGTAAATACAATTTCAATTTCCTTCAATGAATGTACTGTGTTTGTGAGTATTTATATCTCTATAATTAATCTAATTTCTATCAATTAAGTTTAATTCATACGAATTAACGCTTACCTGTAATAAAAGGTTTAAAACTTGTGCAATCCTTGAATATCCTATGAATATTTAACGAAATCTTGATTTATTGCTATTTTTAAGTAGGCACAATATATATAGGCATTTTAAATTAACAACACATTTTAAGCGTATTATTTCATAATTTTTAAGTACAAATGTTTATTTAAATTGCATAACATTAATTACACACGAACGAATGCTCGTTCAAATAATAAAATCATAGTAATTAAAATTAGTTTCATATCTTGTTGATTATCATCTGTCAACGTATATTTTTAACATTTTTCTTGAAGGAATAATACTTCAACGATTTATAATACTGATTTTTTAACAATTGTTTAACTAAAACATTAACACTAAATAAACACAACAAGTTAACTTGTGACATTTCTGAAATGATCTGAGCCATGAGACCATCTGTCACTGTAGGTTAGGCTTGTAGTAGTTGTAGTTGCAGAAGTTGGCAACAGGATGAGTAGATGGCGACACGTGTACCAATATTAACGGTAATTCATTATAAAAGCGCGGCAATTCAATTTGTGCATTGAATGAAACATATATTCTACAAAGCAGATTATTTATTTAAATAAATGTAACAAATAGAATGACAACATTATATTAGAAATAAAAATTCGAAACAAATATATCTAAATAAATATTAATAATTTTCTTAGAATTTAGTCCAACAAAACACGTAATAACAGTCGAATAAATTTATAATTAGCAGCATTTTATACAAAATCACATAAACCATAAAAATTTGTTATTGGAAAGTGTGATAAAATATCAATTGTGCTGCGTATAATCATTAACAAACAATAAATAAGTCAAGATAAGCGGAAAGATTCTTATACGTCTAGATTACAGAAATATATCAGACTCCATAAAGCGTTCGATTATTAATCTTCGTTCAGTATTATGATGTATAATATGTAATATGTAATAATGGAAAATCTTTAGTTTCACAACTTGATGAGTTATGATATTTTTTTGGCGGACATGCACAGTGATATTAACAAGCGATTTAATACAAGTTGCATAATTTCGTGAAAAACGTATCCTCGGTAAAAATAATAAACACATTCAGAACATTGTTAATAAAACTGTGCACCAAAAATCCTTACACGCACTTCCGAATCTAAAATCAAAACCACAAAATATTGTCATTTAATATTAAATAATAGATGCTACGAAATACTTAATGATTTTGTATCGACATTCGGAGGCGCGCCTAAAGAAATTCGTCCTAGTTATCTATAATATTAATAATAATAATAAATATGATGATAATAATAGTGTAATTGTTCTCGCTTAATGATGATGAATGCGTTACTTGTTTAACAATAGTATTTGTTCATTTTGCGTTCGTATTACACATATACGTATATATGAAACATCGATCTCGTTTCACCTAACGTGATAAATGGTTTATATTCGGATAAGCGGCCGTTCAGGCCATGGTCAGCGTGCCGGCGCCAATTCCATAGCCGACACCCTTCGGTCCGTAGTTGCGGCCGTAGCATCCGCGGCAGTAAATCTCTCCGTCTGGTCCGTCGTTCAGGTTGGTGCTGTCCAGGGAGCGCTTGCAGTCCACGCAGGAGAAGCAGCGTCTGTGCCAAATTCCGTTCTTCGAGTTCATTTGTTCGGCGGCGTAGACAGCGTAGCCGCAGCGGGGGCAACCGCCTTTTACTCCCTTTTGACCGCCGTATGGCCTACCGTCGGGGCTAGAAAATAATCAGAAAAAATATAACTTAATGGTACAGAATGAATCTATGCAATCTGTAACGGACTTTTTTAACTTCCCGAAGGAAAAGTTTATGTTTTCATCAAAAAATCCCATTCGCTAATTTTATGTTTTCTCGACGTTTCAAGCCATTCCGAATCGAATGAGACCAAATTTGGAAGAAGTATGTGTGTGTGTGTGCGTGTATGTAAACAGATTTTTTGCCGTAAATCGCCGTTTTCTCTAAATACGGTTGGATCAATTTCAAAAATTTAAAAGCCATTCGATGTATTTCGATGAGGACTATCGTTTCTGAGTTTTGTGCGACGACCGGCCAACCCGTTTCTTTGTAAATCGCAGAAAAATGAAAAATTTTTCGTCCACGTTATAGACCGCTATTCTGAATCGATTTTGAAAATTCAAAAACCGTTCGATAGATATTGGTTGAGAATCGTGCTGATTAGTTTTTGGTAAAGATCGACCAGGCCGTTTACTTGTAATAAATTTTTTTTAAAAAAAATTTCGACGATTTTATTATTTTTTTTTGACGGTAGATACCATAGTCTTCTAGATCATACTAAAATATTACGGCCCTACGACAACTAGTTTATCTTTAAAAATTCGTCAAAGTTTGCAAAAATTAGTATGGTCTTTTTGGCATTTGTCAAAATTAGAACTTTCATCGAGGTTTGCTCAAAAACGCCTGAACCGATTTCCGAAATTTAAAAACCATTCGATGTATCTCGATGAGGATTATCATTTCTCGGTTCTATCTTCGTGCGGCGATCGGCCGAGTCGTTTCTTTGTAGTTTGGAAAAGAGTGTTAAACTTTTCGTCCACATTTAAGCTGATACTACCGAATCGATTTTAAAAAGATATTAGTTGGGAATAACACTGTTTTAGGTGAAAATATACCAAGGCGTTTTCTTGTAATTAACAGTTGAAAAAAAATTAAGCCGATTTTCACGGAACTTTTTTTGGCGTTATATATCATGGTCTTATTGAACTTACTGAAATATTAATGCCTTACGACAAGTAGTTTAATTTTAAAAAATTATCAAAGTTTGAGAAAATAAGTAGTTCTTCTGACATTTATTAAAATTAAAATTAGACGATTTACTTGGTATAACGATAGAGTACTTGGTCTTAAGAAACATGATAAACAATTAAAGTCCTACAAAAAACTGGCTCAATTATAAAAATTATTGATTTTTGAAAATTTGCTTTTAAAAAACACTCCGACCGGGTTTTTTCAATAAATCCACTTCGAATACTTTTAACTACTCATAAATCGCATCGCATTTTTTCTAGAATATAATTTATTATGAATATAATGAACAATAGTTATGGAATTGCTTCCACTAGATTCAGTAGAGGAATAGTGGTAGCATCTATTCAGCTTTATTTCGATGAAGCATAATCAGTGGATCTCAATCTATTTTAATTTAGAAGAAAAAATGTTATAACAAGTCTTTAGCTCCCCTATTCTATGAAAATTCATAATTGAGATTTATTGCTATTTGTATATATTGTCGCCTATACGAGATATCTAGTGTTTCGACTTTCTGTATTTTTTACGGAAAACACATTGCTATCCATATTTTCAAGCAAAACCGATGGCACCACTCCTTGATATAGAAGAATGGCATTTTTATATTTATTTTTATTTTTATATTATTTTTTATATTTGATATTTCTATAAATAATTACTACTTACAAAGATATTGTGGATTCTCCGTTGGTTGATACAAGTGTGGGTGTGTGGCCATAGCCGAATCCTTTAGGTCCAAATAATTTACCGTAGCATGGTTTGCAGTGAATTTCCTTGTCAGGTCCATCACATGCGAGCATCGAATCCAAAGGACGATGGCACTCGGCGCAGTTGAAGCACTTCTTGTGCCACATCTAAAAAAGATAAATGATTAATTTCTATATATTAGAAACATTTTTTAAACTATTTTTCTAAATCTTACCGTTCCTTTGGCTAATTGTTGTTCAGCGGCAAACACCATGCCTCCGCATCTTGGACAACCTTGGCCTTCTGGAGCCATTAGGGAAGTGGTGTTTGGGTTATAGAACGGTCTTCCCATTGAAATTTCTTCCTCTCTATATAATGAGATTGCTTTATCCTTAAACCGCAATATCATTAACTAATTGATAAATATAGAAATACTTACGTTAAACCGTCAGTTTGAAGGAATCCGCTTCCGCAAGCAAAACCGTAACCGTGGGGTCCCCATTTCTTTCCGTAACATGTCTTGCAGTAAACATCACGATCTGGACCATCGCAAGCAATAATCGAGTCCAATGTTTTGGTGCAGTCACGGCATTTGAAGCACTTGCGATGCCATTCCTGTAATAAATAGAGAAATATAGAGTTTATGAAATCTGGCATATAATTATGAAAAAAAAGTGTTATACTGACCCTTCCTTTAGCAAGAACTTGTTCGGCAGCGTATACAACTCCACCACATCGTGGACAACCTTGTCCTGGGGGTGCTTGGATTTTAGCTGTATCAATTACGGTTGTCTTTGGAGCTTGATCCCTAAAATAATAATTTTATCTTTAACGTTTTTTCTATCACACAATTTATAACAAAATTCTAAAAACAAATGATTTTCAGCATATTTTCTTCTGGTTTCAACTACTAAATCAGCTTGCGTAATCAGGTTTATGCAATTAAACTTGTATGTTTTTAAAACAAATTAATTATGTTTACTTTGACTTGAGTTAATGTAAACAAACAGTAGAGGCCAGATGGTTTGCCATATAATCTAAAATAAAATTTCTGATGTAGCAAACAAATATTGATGGCTTTACTTACATATTAGCATAGCAATCACTCTGCAGTGCTCCACCACCTTGCCCATATCCATAGCCCTTAGGACCAAACTTCTTTGCATAGCAAACTAAAATGATAAATATATTTACAATCGAAATTTTAATGTAAAATATGAAAACGACTCTTAATACGTTTTATTAAACAAAATGTTTAAAATTTAATTATATTTTTATATTTTTTTATATTGCTTATTATACATACCTTTGCAGTAGATATCTTTATCGGGACCTTCGCAACAGTTAACAGAGTCTAATCTTTTAGAACAGTCTGCACATTTGAAGCATTCTTTGTGCCATCCCTTTAGAGAAATATTTATGTAAACTAACTTTGTTTAACAGCATAATGAATAATTTATCAAAATACAAAGAAAAAAACTGTAATTAGCATTATGAGAAAACGATAAAATATTTTCATAGCGTCCAGTAATTATCATCTTATATTTATTAAGCAATTTAAGACCTCTTGTCAATAAGGACTATATTTTTTTATATTCGTACTGTTCTACTAAAATTTCTTGAAATTTAGCTTAATTATTTTTTATTGTTTATTTTGTTATATATATATATATATATATATATATATATATTTGAAAAACTAAAAATTATTTAAATTTTAATTATTTGATACATGATGATTGTGCATTCAGAGTTAATTATTACATGTTATTAACATTACTTTTGCACTTTGCAGAATGGAACCCCTGGGCTGATAATTAAATCCGAGGCTCTATTCTAATTTAGTATATTTTATATAAATTTAAATTTATTTTATAAAACAGTAATGAAATTTCCCTTACCGAGTTTTTTGCATATGAAATAGTAATCGTAAATTCACAATCTTTTGCACCAGAAATGAAAATGAATTTTAAACTTAATTTTTTTAATTAAACCGCTTCTCATAGGAGAATGATATTTCATGGTGTTCGATTTGACTTTAAACTGTATAGTTACGCGAGGTTTCATCAAAATCCTAGAAAAGAAAACCTGAGGTTCTTCTTGTAAGTACCAATACGAATTTTGTTAATCAAATGAAACAAACTAAGCTCGTTACGGGAAATTCCATACCATTGGTTAAAATATGTCATGTTCTGCATTTTTATTTAAGTTAATATAAATAACTAAGCTCTAACTAAAAATTACTATTACTATTTCTTAAATATCTCACCTTTCCCCTGGCGAGCATCATTTCGGCGGCGTAGACGCAACCGCCGCACCTCGGGCATCCTTCGCCATCTTTAGCGCGGATTATTTTTCTTGGTTCCAAACAAGCTCCATTTGTACGGTGGCCATTTCTATATGCACATTTTTAATGAAAAAACTATTAGTTTATATACAATTTTATTTTATTTCAGTTTTCACGAAAACACCCAAATTTCTGTGCCAATGAGATATTTACAAGTGTATGCAGTGGAAGCTAGTATGATTGAAATTGGCATGCTTAGTAATAGATACTGTTAATTAGCTACTATAAAGTTGAATCGAGTGTAAAGTAATGGAACTGTGTGTAATTATTCTAGTTGAACACGTTAATCGCCATGTCAATTATATGTGTTTGATTAGCTTTAGTAAAGTTCTATGTGAGCCATGTCAGATTTTGCAGTATGTTTCGAAAGCTTGGTATATAAGGAACAAAACCTTAAAAGTTCTTGGCTTTCAAGAAAAAAGTGCTTTTACAGGAATGTTGGCAAAAAATGGTTCCTTTGATATATTCTTAACTAAATGATCTTATAAAGTTACCATGGCCAAAGTGAATATTTTTCTGATATCGTGGCGATGTGTTAAATTAATAATTAATATGTTTTTAATTTAGAAGTCAATTTATCCAAAAAATTGTAGTGAGTTGTGTAACAATAATAACCTAAATTCTTTTGGAGTTGAACTACTTTAATTCATCATTAGTACTATCAATTTTTCGTAATGTGAACTAATCAGTGCTTGTAATATAAAATTTGTAAAATATTGTGTACTGAAAAATTTTGTTCAAAATAAATCAAACTATCACCCATTCGTAAAAATAAGAAAAACCAGATCAAATGCATGCAAAAATAAAAGTTTTTATATACAAGTCTCTTAATGAGAGTTAGTGATTTCAAAAAAAAGTTATGATATGGTATGATGAGACAGTATTTACAAAGAATAATTGTATTAGTTGGTGTAAGCGATGCATTAGATTTTACTCTACGCTAGAATATACATTATTAGTAATAATTATTAATAATAGCTGTGTAAAGAAAGCAATCAAATTTCCAGAGGTTCCAGCGTTTGTTATTTTGTTATATCTGGCCGACCCGCCACATGTCCTGAATGGATACACCTCGGACTCGGACTAATTACATGATGACAATAGCTTCTACAATGTTATATAAATAACCGATTATGTTAATTATTTCTGTGAATATAAAACAAAATTAAGCAAACATCGATGGGAGAAGGTTTGATTTGAACTAATCGCTCCTCGCCATCCCATGTTCATAACAGTTAACAGTCATTCGAAATTAATCTACTGTACTTTAGAATTGATTTTGTTATTGATGCCAGTTCGAATATACAATTTACTGTGTTAAGGTATATTTATAAAATAGATAAGAATGAATCGTCGAGGGCCTTTTCCTTATCCCATCCTGTTCTTTTTATAATAATATATACATGTTAATAAATGTTGAAATGAGCGATCAACATATCAATCGCATGTCCCATAATCACATATATGGTATAAATTGATTTCAAGCGTATATTTGGATTAGTACAGATGATTGTATACAGAGAATGCAGTGTTCTCAGTTTTTGGAATGTGTGAAGGAAGTGTAAGATTAGAATTTGTTATTGTAGAAAATGTTCGAAAGTGACCTGACGAATGCACAAGCCATGCCAGCGATAATTTCTATTACACTCGTGTAAAAGATGCAAAAAATCTCACCTACTTATGAGAAAATGTCGCGGCTACCTACACGTCTCAGGTTTCATTTGTCTGATAAATTCTAAGGACAGGTTATATGAGAATAGCTCAAGGCTATATTATACGGCTGATCTATTTCAGGAGCAATGTTTGCAAACAGAGCGGTTATCCAATCGCGAATCATATTTGGACCGGCTGTTTATTTGTGAGAGTTAGTTATTACTTTAGAGCCTTGAGCTAATCTCGATCAAAAGAGATTTTATGTAATTCAAAACCAATAATTTTAGTTAAAAATTATTTTATTCCTCTTTTAGAAGCATAAAGTTTACATAATATTTTATTGTACAGAGTTTTCTATAAAAATAATCTTTTTTTTTCAAAAATATAGAATTTTTCATCCAATCTACAAAAATATTTTACTCTGCTAAATCTAAAATTTAATCTCAAACTTAAATTTAATACTTGTATTTTTGTGAGTTGGTTAAATAAGTGATACATTGAGATCGTTTCGAAGATCTTTGATTTTATGATCAGCTGAATGATATGCGATATCAACATTATTATAATTGAAACTCACGCAAAAATACTTTGTTTTCAATTAATAATAGATTCGGATCAAAACACATAAGTAGTGACGAAAACAAAAAGCTACATCTAACAACATTCAGTACGAAAATACGGGAAAGTTTTGGGTCTTGAACGAGCCTGTGGTTGTAGATTCTCTCTAAGTTTGATCGATTCATTGGCTCCGAACTCCGAATGATGACATCGATTTAGTTTCTGTTCGGAAAAGAAATAGAAATGTGCTTCAAGTCTACGTCTCAGATTGATTGAGGCCTAACAAAGGTATTAGTGTGAACGGTGCCTTAGACTCAATTCGGCCGTTTAGTTTAAATGGAGGATTTATCAACAAAACCAATTATCACCCGCTTACATTCACAATTCATCGTTTGCATTTTAGGCAGTTTCATATGAGTAGTATTGCATGCAGATATATGATTGTAGAGGAATAACAGTCAAGAATCATCATATCAGTCAAGGAGATAGTAAACATTGATATCAAAATAGATGTCTGGTAACAAACTAGCTTACGTGTGTAAACAAAATTTCAGTTATTGACAAACAAATTTTTATAACATGATTGATATGTATGCATATGTTCGTATACATAGGAAATAATATTGTTAGATATTGATATTATAAGGAAAATGCCCTCTGAACGTTTTGTATATAAATAATATTCAAATCTGCACATTCAATTGACTAATTTTCAAATTATATAAGCGAATTGTCTCGCTTTATTAACTATATCGCGTAAAATATTTTTTGCACGTTGTTTTGCACTACTGAATTTACTATTGAGAATGAAAATGCAAAAATCGTATGAATAATTTTGTTTGATTTTCAGGAAATAATTAACTAATCAGTACCTTTCATTTGCGTTTGTATTTTATTAATAATGATAGATAAATTTTATAGCAATTGAGTTTCATTCATAATAGAACTATATCATAGATATCGTTTCTCAACATATTGCCTGTATGTCAGAAGTGATCTGCTTTTGAATTTAACTTTGCATCTACATTTAATTTTATCTAGGTGAGTATTCTGAATGAAACCGGAATTGCTGGAGTTTTTTTCATCATTTCGGTCCCAATGAGAGGATACGATGTGTAAGCGAGTGAAAACGATTGATCTGGCTGCTGTACTATTACTATTTATCTGATCTTCAAGCAAAAGTTATGCGCAAAGAGGGTAGGTACTGTGATCAGTTTCGCAAACGATATTGCGACTGGGTTGCGGCAGGGTACGATAATGTAATGTAAAATGTTAATAAAGTGTTGAAACTTACGTTTGGCCTCCTTCTGTGAATTGTGCTCCGGTGTCCATGGACAGACAGCCGGCACCACCGCCAAAACCGTATCCTTTGGGTCCGTACTTGCGGGCGTGGCAGTTCTTGCAGAACAACTCACCTTCGTGCTCAGTGCAGTTGGTGGAGTCCAACAATTTGCTGCACATACCTAAAAGGTAAATGATTCTTATTTATTGTTCTAATTTAAAGTAATTTTAGTTTCGATTTTAAAAATAAACTTCAAGATGTATTTGTAAAAACTTTAAAAATTCTCGCAATCTTTATGGAGTTTTAAAACTTTTATTTAATTTTGAATTTTACATTTTAATTAGTAGTATTGAAGTTTAGATAAATTGATTTGAATTTTTTAAATCTTACCGCATTTGAAACACATTTTGTGCCACTTAAGTCCACCGGCAACACGCTCTTCCGCGGCATATACTGATTTGCCGCATTTTGGGCATTTTGGGTTTTCTACTGGCTTGAACGGCATCTTGAAGCTTTAATTTGGCCTGTAATAAAAATTAGAATTATTTTAATAATTCAAATAGCTTTCTAAAAATCCTCGAGCAGTCAAGTCGAGATATTTCAAACTCATATATGATTAGGTATAATTTTATTTGATTTTTATAAGCAAAGTTATAACATGCATTTTTTAAATTAGTGAACTTTCATATACTATGCTACAATCAGCTACAATTTTGTTAAAATATTTTAAAAAATGGAGATATTCTTGTATTCGTTCTCATGATTTTTTATTGGCGATTACATTTTCGCAAAAAAGAGTAATTTTATGTATTTTCGACGTTTCAAGTCATTCTGAACCGTTTGAGACCAAATTTAGAAAAAGTATATGTGTCTGTATGTGATCCGAGTTTTGATCTTTTGTCTACGTTTTTCTCAGAAACGGCTGTACCGATTTTAAAAATTTAATTTCAATGTAACTTGACTAGCGTTTATTAATTTTGTGCGAGGATCGGCCAAGCAGCTTCTTTGTGATAAGCAGAAAAGTGTAAAACTTTTCGTACAAGTTTTAGACCACAATCTTGAATCGATTTGAAACTCCAAAACTATTCGAACAATATTTATTGGAAATTGCGTAAATTTTTGGTAAATATCGGCCGGGCTGTTCCCTAGTAATTAAATGTTGAAGTTTTTTTTGACTATTTTGATGAAACTTTGTGCAACGATAGATTTCGTAGTCTAAAATAACATACTAAAATATTATAGGCCTACGATAAACGGTTGAATTATAAAAAATCACCAAAGTTTTAGCCGCAAGCTTGATCAGTGCCAAAGTTTCCTAGTAATTAAATGTTGAAGAATTTTTTGACGATTTTGATGAAACTTTGTACAACAATAGATTTCGTAGTCTGAAATAACATACTAGATTATTATAGGCCTACGATAAACGGTTGAATTATAAAAATTTACCAAAGTTTTAATCGCAAGTTTGATCAGTGCCGAAGTTTCCTAGTAATTAAATGTTGAAGAATTTTTTGACGATTTTGATGAAACTTTGTACAGCGATAGATTTCGTAGTCTGAAATAACATACTAAAATATTATAGGCCTACGATAAACGGTTGAATTATGAAAAATCACCAAAGTTTTTGTCGCAAGCTTGATCAGTGCCGAAGCATGTGCACGTTCTGTGGTGTTTCGTAGGTAGCTACTGATTACAGTTGATATCCACATTTTAATAAAATACATTTTTGGTATCGAAAATGGATGAAATAAAATGTGTTAAATAAATTAATTTCATTAATACAATTACATGTATTATAAGTATGTTTGAAAGGCGTCATTTAGAAATCGTATTGACTATTTTTTAGTGAAAGCGAAAATTTTATTTATGAAATAAACTGTTGAACACATTTTACCTAAATAGCTGAATCCGAATTCTTATTGATTAAGTGAATTATGTGTACGTGTCAAAAAGTTCATACAATTTACATTAAGTAAGGTGACCATTCGTCCCGGATTGACCGGGACAGTCCCGATTTTTCGGCTTGCGTCCCGGCTTTATCTAAATGCAATATTTGTCGCGGTTTTAGGTGTTTTGTCCCGGATTATCTCGGAATTTCAATATGGTTTTGAATGCCAATATTTTTAAATATATTTCAACTAGAAAATTTGAACCGTTGAAATTTTTTAAGAAATGTGTATATAAATTCTTAGCTCAGCCACCGCCCCCTCACACACATTATAATCTGCTCCGGATTGTGTGCAAAATAATATGGTCACTACTTACACACTTTTTAATAATTGAAATTCAATTAAATACTTAAATTTTGCAAAACCATAGAAAAAAGAAATTAATCAGTAATTACAAAAAAAAAGATGTAATAAGCGTGACATAAGTAATCGAATCATCTCGAACATCCGCGACAGTGTCGTAATAATTGCATTTCCTTGGAACTAAGTAAATGTAACAGTAGCCGTTAATAATGAGCTTTCGCTTTACGCGAATAACTGTCAAATCGAGTGGTAACATTTGTCTTTCGTGTAGGCCGCATGTAACGAAATACCCGCAAAACGAGGGGAAGGTGCCGCGCGGCGCGTGTTCTCGCTGGCTCTGGGCCAGGCGTGCGATCGCACCGACGCCTCACCGACGCTTCTTCGCCTTCGCCGATGTTACTGACGCCCGGTCCGTAAGCTAGCCTAATTTGGCTGTGCCCGAGGAATGCAAACGTAATGGCACACCGCACGAAACCAACAAGATGGAGAGTACGAGGAAAATGAAATACGAGGAAAATTTCATATGGTAATAATTATTTCGATCGTTCATTATAATTCACAATTGATGTACTGTACCTAGTTTTGTCGAGAAAGTTTTGGTCGATAAAAATATTTTATGCAATTTTCATATTTAAGTATTTTCGAGTAATATACTGCTATAACCTTGCTTTATTTACCAATTTTTCAAATTATCATTAATTTTTTTTAATCTAAGCCTTGCCTTTCAAAGAGGATGAAAAATATGCTTTTAAATGAAATACGAGTAAAATTTGACATAATGTTTAGAATTTTATTGCTAAATTTAAATTATAATTGTACTATCGCCCTGTTTCTGCTGAAAAGCTATTAGATAAAAACTACATACCAAATATACTTTTAAATGAAATGCCAGTAAAATTTGACATAATGTTCAGAATTTTATTGCTCAATTTAAATTATAATTGTACTTTCGCCCTGTTTTAGCTGAGAAGTTCTATTAGATAAAAACTCCATTCCAAATATACTTTTAAATGAAATACGAGCAAAATTTGATATAATGTTTAGAATTTTATAGCTCAGTTTAATTTATAATTGTACTATTATCCTGTTTTTGCTGAGAAGTTCTATTAGAAAAAAACTACATACCAAATATACTTTTAAATGAAATACGAGTAAAAGTTGACATAAAGTTGAAAATTTTATCGCTCAATTTAGTTTATAATTGTACTCTTGTCCTGTTTTGCTGAAAAGTTCTGTTAGATAAAAAACTACATACCAAATTTTATATTTAAGTATTTCAAAAGAATATTACATTATAAGCTTGGTTCATTTGTCGCATTTTGAAATATTGTTCATTTTCTATGCACTTTTAAATGAATTACGAGTAAAATTTCATATGGTAATAATAATTTAATCGGTCACAAGGAAAACCTCAGGTTTACTCTTTGGGGTTTTGATGAAACTTCGCATAATGATAGAGTTGATAGTCGAACCGAGTACCTTAAAATATTATAGGCCTATGTAAAGTGGTTTAATTATGAAAATTGTTTGAAGTTTTGAAAAATGGACCATGAGCAATACGTACGCGTACAATGTTGCATTTAATATTTCTCGGTAGCTCAAACAGTTTAAAGGCTTACTTCTACTTTTTGCGCTCGGATTAATAGATAAGAGAGTTAGAAATGATCAGGTTTAAATCCCGTCAGCGTATAATTTATTTTTAATATTTTTTAATTTTCTTTTATGTTTGAGTAATTAAATATTGCAGAAATTTGCAACTCATTTCATTTATTTTGCGAACAAAAATTGATATATTTAAAGCAAATCTATCAGTTGCCATATTAATTTATAAAGTTCGATATAAAATACAATATAAAGTATAATTTATTCCGAAAATTCTCAAAATTTATACTTGAAATATTTAATTATTTATGAATAATATACAACGTAGCTTTATCTACCGATTTCCTAGAATATTGTTAAATTTTTTAAATATATGTCTATGGAACATTTTATTTTTTAATAAAATACTAGTAAAATTTGATATGATGTTTAGAATTTTATCGCTCAATTTAATTTATATTTGCATTATGGCTTAAAATTTAAAATTAGATTTTAGAGTTTTAACGCAAAGTTAACTAATAAGAACTTTTTGTATTGCACATTTTATTTTTTGTATAACGATATTATCTTATAACGTTGTTTCATTTGCCGGTTTTTCAAAATGTATTGTTAATCTCTTTCATTATCATTTGGTTTTTAGAATTATTCTTCTTGTAGAAAATATTAGGAAAACTTTAGTAATTTATAAATTTTTAAATAAATCAATTTATCAGTTCATATCATATTTTTTTTAAATATTTAAATGAAAATCAAGTCAAGTTCTCAATTGTTTTCTTGTACTTGACAAAGTTTCTTTGGCCATTATAAAAATATTGAACATGAATTTTTATTCTGAGATAATTTTTAATTCAAACGTATTATTAACATTTTTTCAAAAATCGAGAATCATTTACATTTTTTAACAAACGATTTTGTTTTTATTTGTTATTTTCAGAATAAAATTATATTACACAATCTATTTTTCGTAGCACTTGTGCAACAGTTGATGTCGGCAGGTGTAAGTTTTAAAATGACGTCAAATGTTTTTCTTGGCCATTAAGTTTGGTCATAAATCTTTGTTTGCTGCAAAGCATTGCGTAGTCCATAATGTTATATGGTATACAATATAAATAATCAAAGATAAATATTTAGCTGCAAATATTTAAATTTTAAACCGCAATTGTATTGAAATATCGAATTCCGCAATTTAGTTTTTAGTTCACCAAAAATAAAAACCAATTTTTATAAATATTATTTATGAAATATTGTTCATTAGATAATGAAATTTCTTGTAAGTTTCAATTAAAGCGAAAAATTGTTACTTAAAATCACAAAAGGCAATTAAATTTTTGAATTTAAAAAAGGCGCCATACAATTTTTAATTTGCATCTAATAATTTTAATAAAATTAATGCTATGAATATCATTATAGCATGCAAGATTATATTGGATAAATTTATTGTTAATAAATGTTGAAATAAACTATTGCAATTTTTATGATACTGTTAAGTACTAATTAAAAGCGTTTACAATTAATTTTTGTGTTATTTGCATATATGTGAAATATTATAAAGCGTGTATTGCTATCTTTGACAAAGTTGCTTCCGAAATGTTTCTCAATAGTATTTAAAATTAGATCTATTATAGATCCCTCCTTCATTTGAATATATTTAAGTTTGAGTTAAGCACATAAACTTTTCCAGCCACTTTGTCAACCATCAAAATATTTCGTAAACATTTGGATCGTTGCCCGAATTTTCGAAACTTTCAATGGCGAGCGTTGAATCTCCTCTCCACAAAATTTTTGTTAAACCAAACAAACACAGATGAATATGCTGTTAGAGTGATATCACGCACTAGAAGATTTTACTAAAAGCGCACACTGTTCTTTGCGTTCGACGATGAATTAATGCACAATACTTAGTAATCCACACACTGGCGAATAAATCACTGATAAAATAATGAAGCAACTACCTTTAGCTAATTAAATCGTAGTCGTTGGGTAGTGAGTCGGAATGCGAGTCCCAGTTATCCTTTTTGGAATTGAAGTGTAGTTTCGTAAATCGACGGAGAGAACGATAATGGCACTTGCTTTTCGTCACTGACTACCGCTTTGTATCGAATGAACTCGGAGGCCGGCTGCACTGTATAGTCACTGCCGCAGTGCACACGGCACCATCGCATCGGCGATCGGGCAGGGGCCGCATGAGGTGCAGGACGGATCAGGACGGGAGAAGTGCGCTCCACCGAACCGACGGGGGTCGGACATCTCGTGCGTGGGACAACACTATCTACGATGCCGAACGATAATCAAACTTATATCATATTCCACATTCAAAACGCCTTATCAATCATATACGAGATCACATCTCTTCAAATTATCAAATTCGGCAATTTCAAATGATCCAAATCGAATCATCTATAGATAATCGCAAACTTTCTGAAATCGAGTATTTTCATATAAATTAGTCATCAAAATTACTCTACGGAAAGTTAAAAATACTATATACATACTTATATACATATGCATGTAAGCATACAAAACAACATTTTTATCTACATTTACCATCAGTAAAACATTTCTTACTGACCGTTAGCTTTGAACGTATTAAAAACAAACATGTACAAAATATTTGATATAACTCAACGAATAAAAATATATAACATTTCAATCAATAACATCATTTCAAAATTTGATACGAGTTTGATTTAACATATGACAATTTATTACAAAGATAAGAAAATAGGTTATCTAGTCATTCCATAAATAGTAATCATATAAACATATATCGCGATACTTTACGGAAGAAAGCCTCAAATATAAAGTGTGGTAAGAAGCTATTTTTAATCTCAGCATAGTTTACTTATTCTTTCGATTGTATAAATATGCAGCATACTTTCGATGTTTCTTTTCAGGTATCTATATTTGCTTCCCGAAAGCTTCATCAGATTTGGACTATTACGTTTGAGCCTTGAATAAGTTTAGTAACACAAAAATATTTATATGTATATATATATATATATATATATATATATATATATATATCTACACACATATATATGATAATTATTAGAGTACAAAATAAAAATGTGTATGTTTATTACAGTGTTACAGTGTCAAATGTTCATACGGTGGAGCGTTCTTGTACAATTTGTACAATTCGGAAATTAGAAAATAGCAATAATAAATGATAAAAAATGATAACTATATAAATAAATAAAAAAGAGTATGTTTTTGCAGCAACTTTATCATGAAGTATAACATATTTCCAAATTGCAAATGACCATTATTAAAATTAATTGCAACCACTGTTATTGTATTAGCTATATATATATAATAGTTGAAACAACTATGTTTTAGGTTATTTCTTGTATAATGCGCCACTTTACGCCTTTGTCCCTATCCCATATAAAATGCTTTATCGCATAAGACGTGTTTTTAGCACGGTTCCTGGAAAACTGTGTTAACGGGAATTCACAGTACATACACAACGCATTTATTAGGATTCATTTATAGTTAAAACAATGTTTGCACATTATTGCTCTTATAAATATTTGAATAGTCTAGAAAAAAAATTGAAAATTAATATAATCTGAACCAGTAATAATAATAATAATAATAATCAAAAATATATTATATTCTATGCAATAAAATTAAAAAAAAAATTATTAGTTTAAATATATTTTAGTTATCAGGTATATGACTTATTCTTTATATAAAAGTTACAACTATATTGAAGTTAAATATACTAGTTCTACCAAATCATAAACTTGGTTTATTGATTAAATAATTTATACAATATTTAATATATAAGTTTAATTAAAAAAACATTCAAATATGTAACAATTGTATTAAATGCCAAATAACGTATAACCTTGCAAATTTTTAGGATTACCATCGAGTTACATATTAGATTTTTTTAAAATATCAAAACCAAAAGCTTCTACCCATGGAGTAAAATGTACCTGTTTTATCCTATTTTAACATAATTTTTTTGTTCATTTTACAATGGCTTATAAAATCTATATGTATCTTGATCGCCATTTTTTTTTTTTTTTTTGGAATGTTTTCCGTGAATAAATTGCATCTCTGTTGTCTGGTTGCATAATCTATGTTTAGATTCTATGATTTAACTTATCCAAGCGGCTTGTCCAGCGTGCAGCCGAGAGAAATCCTACTATGAATAGAACGACGCGACAAAGCTATTTCCATCCATAATGCCGAAAGACAAAACCCTTCTCAAATTCTGGCCAGGAATGAATGCATCTTGACGAAATCTCTTGTCATCAACCTGTTTTCTCCAGTCATATTAGATTTGAGAACCGCATAACCGTATAACGGGTCGGAAATTCTATGAATCATTGCAGAAATAAAAAAAAACCTATATACAAACCCTTATTTTTGGGTCAATACCCTGTGCATTCAGAATTTATTTTAGAGGTATGGTTTCTTCAGCAAAGTATCTTATTTTGATCCCTAGTATCCGAAAATCATATATGTCTTAGCGACTTTTATATATATATATATTTATATATATATATATATATATATATATATATATATATATATATATATATATATATATATATATAAATTCTTCCTTCCTCTACTCCGGTCAGTGACACATTTACGAAAACACGCTAATAACTTAAATTGTACCAAGAAATGCCAAAATAATAATAAGTGTTACGACTTTTAAAGTCGTTGAGTCATCGATAAAAAATTAGAATATTGAGAAGACAGGAATAGAATCATCTAAAACGGTCGCGGGCAAAGGTTAGTCCTTTGCCAAATATGAAAGTGAGGCCGAAGAACTAATGACCTACAATAATGAACAGGAGACTAATGTATTTATCACATATTACACGAAATTACAATTAATTACACAAAATGTTTTATTATTTCTAATTTGATTAACATATTTAGTGTAATAACTTTTGATGGTTCATTTAATCAAGTGAAACGTTAATTCATCCAACCTTAATACTTATTACCAATTCGTATATTATTAGTTTCTATTCTGTTGCAATGATTATATTTATTAAAACTACTACTACCATAAGTACTGCAAATAACAAAATTTTGTTTCAAAATTACATTCGTTATTTAATCTAATATAAAAACTTACTATCATTCATTTCCTTACTTCATTTTCAATCATCAATTAAAAATGAAGAAACGTTGTTGCTCCCACAATATAAACTAGTCGTTTTGTATTATATTTTCTTATTACTTTTACTTTTTACAACAGTGTTGTAATAATACTATTATTTTTTATTAATAATGCAATCCTATGAATGACCTATTCTAGTTTGAATATTTTTTATTAGAACCAAAAAGTTGCCTTTTTTCCAATCGTGACTATGTTTTAATTCAAAGCAGCAGTTTCCAGCAGAGCTATTTTCACTTATCTATTGGAAACATATTTTTCATCTATACTAAAAAAAATGTATATCGCTACTACTTGCTATGCAGGTTGCACGAAACAAGGGATTGAACCTGGAACCTTGTGGTTGCAAGATGAAGTTAGTTTTATATAAATAATTAGATATAATATCCCAGGGACTGCCTTCAAAAACAACATTAAATGATTTGATTATAAATCACTATAATATATCTAAAGAAGCTTTTTATGCAAGATGTTGTACGATAATAAATTAGAAACACATTTTGTTTATGTGGTAATTTTGTGCACCTCTGTACCTTGTGTATGTAATAATTCTTGTTTTGATAGAATTTATGTCTGCAATTATTTATTTATATTGCTTTGTAAATAACATAAATATTTTATAGAGTCAATGGAAATTATAGTGCTGTTTAAGCTCAACGTTATATGAATATGTGTAAAATAATATTGATTAATTCTTCATATAAACAAGATAATCATATAGCATATCAGAAAAATAATAGTATGTGTTTTGTCACCCGATTGTTTAAGCTTATAGTTACATGAGCATGTGTAAGAAAATATTGATAACTTGTTTATATAACAAGAAAATGATAACGGGTTTATCAAAAAATAATATTTTGTATTCGTCATTTGTTTAAGTTTAAATTTATATGAGCAATGAGCATGTGTAAAATAATATTGATAGCACATTTATATAAACAAGATAATCAAGAAATAATATTATGGATTCGTTTTGTTTCTTTTTATAGCAATAATTTCTGTATATGGTCAAATAAAAATATGTCAAATTTAACAATAACGAACCCATGAAAATTTTTTACGGGATTATTCTGGTCTAGACACGAATTTTATGCAATTTTTGAAAAACCGTATAAAAAGGATAATAATATTTTTGCTGTATTTTTTTAAACAGCTAATAATTAATATTGTGAGAATATAAAAATTAAAAACAGTCATAGTTTTAACTCTAAAATGTGATGAAGTGAGGGGTCCAAAAAAATTGGCACCTGACCATACCATGATTTTGACCCTCAAATAATCTGAAGAAAAAAAATTATGTATTTATTAATCAAGAAGAATGTCGCAAACTACAAACAAGTTCAAAAAATGTCTGGAAAAATCAACTTTTTTATATTTCTCATTTTTTTTTAAATAATAACAATCGGAATTTGAGATGAACGCAGTTCATACTGAAGTCTATGAAGATGATTCTGGAAAAAATAAATACGAGTAGGTCGTAGGTCCAGTAGAAGTTGAGAAATCGTGGGTATCGTAATTGTCTGTCGCAAAGTAAAAGATTTTGTAAATATACAAGTATATATTATAAAGAAAAAGTATAGTGTTATATTTCCAATCTATATAAAAATGTAAGATGATTCAGCTCGTGATGTATTGTTTTCTATTTCGGACACGAGTGTTACAGAAATTAGATGAATTTATATATACGTATATATAGAAACGATAGATTTCGATTATAAATAAAAGATTTGTTGACAACGTTCGCCTGGTGTGGCGTGGGCGTCACAGTGTGACGTTTACACGACTTGCTCTGCTACTGCTATATCATATGTCTCTAATAGAAAATCAAAATAGAGTCGACTCAAAGTTGAATCGAGATAATTATTATTATTGGGAATTCAAGCCAATTCTGGGATATTTCTGATATACTATATTGAATTCGATCCAACTTTCTGTTGGACAATGTACCGAATTTGATGTACTTAATG